TTTTTACCTCCAACACATGCTTACACTCTGCAAATAAACATTTTTCGGCTACTATTACCAACCCTATTCCTTGTCAAATGAATGAGTCTTCTGAAATTATTCAGACATTTGTAACTGATTAAGTAAGGGTACCATTTAATCTCTCAAGAACATATTATCCCCAAATGAGCATAGAATGAGAGGACATTTCAGTGGTAAAATATGAGAAGTGGAGTAGTTTCCTCCCCATAAGTCAGCATTATGATCAACAAAAGCAATCCATTCTGAAATATTTCTGTCTGGCTACAGGTTTTACGTTAAGTGAGAGAAAAGATAGGCATTATGAATGACTGAATCACCATTTTTTCTCCAATAGGATTTAAGACATTATAAAATGAAATTGTCCACACCTAAATGCTCCATTGTTATGTTTAATTCCAATACACTTCTACTGCCCCAAACTTTATTCATTTCCTCTGGGCAAAGTACCCTTGCTATCTCCCAGAGCTTCAGAGCCAAATTCCCATTTTCTCACAGGACATACCTGATATTGCAGAGGCCTTCAAATGAAACATGACTAGTTGACCTAATTATTTCCTCCTATATTTACTCTCTCCCTCTGCAGACTCTACATTATGGGAACCCAAGCACTTAATGTCTAGAAACTTCTTTCACTACTTCCCTCCTCTCAGCCTCCATTTTCAGATGGCTACCATGTCTGGTGATTCTACTTTTAAACTATCATTAATTTAGAGATGTTTTCTATTATGCAGCTGATAGGACCATATTATAGAATAATTAAAAAATAGAGAAAGAAAATGAGCTGCTTATTATACATCTACTACCTGAATACAATCATTCTGATCATTTCAGCATATTTTCTTGCAGTCTTTTTTCTTGTACTTCTCTTTGTTTTTTTTGTTTTAGTTTTCTGCTTTCCTTTTTTTCCTTTTGACCATTTTCTTGGTTTCTGGTATTACAGCTTGCTTCAGGTTTATCTTGTATTTTTCCTGCCCAGTATAAACCATTTCTCTAAAGTACACTGGTTCCTTGTATTGGAGAATCTGGGCATTGGATGTTGATTTTCTTTCAAACATTGCTATAATCATATCAGACTTTGGGCTAGGGACTGGTTCCTACCCAGATTCTAAGCTATGCTCATTGCTTGGATTTAGCCAGCTCTGGGCACATCTGGCAGGGTGGGAGGGTTAGGTAACCAGGAGTCTCTTGAGGACTAGATGTCTTAGATGGGAAAGATGCCTTAGATGGGAAAGAACTATGCTAAGGAAGGAAGTTAGGCAGACAAATGTGGACAAATGCACGGTCCTCATCATCAGAGGGAGAAGTGACTCTGCCTAGATGTGGTAGGTGTCATTTTGGGTTTATCTCTGATTCAACATTCCTCCCATTGCCCATTGGATTTCTATCCTAGGGAGAAAAAAAGCTGTCTATAGGTAAAAATGGAGAGAGTAATGTTCACTACTGAAAATTATAAGGTGATGAAGTACAATACAGATAGGCTTTGATGCTCCCTAACCCTACTCTAGGAAGCATAAAAAGTAGGAATACATTTTCTTCCAGCTTTGACACAGGATGTCTCATAGTTTTCAGCACCTCTAAGATGTCTGTGAGTACATCCTCTGAAGCAGTAGGGGCCTGGGTGTTCCACAGGAGTGGGGTGGGCTGTAAAAGGCTGTCATGTATAGTGGAGAGTACTCACTGGAGCTAAGGAGGAAAAGTGTAAGCAGCTACATGGAGCCTGACCATATGGCTTCAGAGACCCCTCAGGGGACTTTCAGAAATTCTTGAGGAGTCTTTTCCGAGGCCTGGAATCCTGTAACAGCAGGCATGGTAAGCGACAAACAAATTTGGGCTGTTAGTGGCACTGTGACACTATTTAGGATTCTTTTAAGACCTCATTTAGGAAGCTTGGGCTGCCTACATAATCTTCTAGCCTGTTTTTTTCACTTATCTTATAAGCAGTTTTTCATGTTGCAATATGACCTGCAAAACCTTTTTAATAAAAACAACAGCAATGATAACATACAATGTTTATCAAATATACAGTCCCTTTACAAAAGTTATCTTATTTAAACAGCACAACAACTCTGCAAAGGAGAGTGTTATATATCCCTATTTTGCAGATAAGGAAAATGAGTTTGAGAGAAATGAAATAACTTGCCTGAGTTTACCTCACTATTGAGTAACAGAATCATTGTCTTATTTTAACATCAATACTTTCTCCAACAGTCTCTCCTTGCAGCCCATAATACTCTAATAGTCTATGGAGTGTACAAACCATAATTTACTTAGCTATTAATGTATCAGATTATCTAACCATTCCCCTGTGGTTGGACATTTAGGCTAATTCGTTATTTTTTGCTACTATAAACAAAAATGAGGTGAACAGCTTTTATTATTTTAATTTCACTCCCCAGCTCTATATTATGACCACATTGAACTATTTGTCCTGATTAAAATTATTTGTACTTTCTTGTCTCTGTAAACTTCCTTATACTTGTTCCTTCTGCTGGAGGGACTGAAACTTACATACCTTTCCAAATGCCACATACCCAGGGAGAAGAGTCACTTACCTTTTTGTGGCCCTTGTTGCTACCTCTGTCAGGCTTCTAATCACATTGACTCTAACTGTAAATTAGTCCTTCTCCCCCATGGATTTGTGAGCTTTCTGGGGCAGAAATGTGAGCTTATTCATATGAAGCTTTTGTTAAAATGCAGATGCCCAGGTCCCATATAGACCTAAAGAAGTAGAATTTGTAGGGCTGAGACCTGGACTTCTCTTACTAAGCTGCTGCCCAGGTGAAGTGTCGAAGGGCCTGCTAAAGCTGATTTAATTGAGATCCAGGGTCTCATAACTTAATACTCCGATTGTCCAGGATGCAATAAAAAATCACCCATTATACCTAGAACAGGGAAAATATCAATTTGAATGAGAAAAGGCAATCAACAGGTATATCAACACTGATATGACACAGATGTTGGAATTGTCTGAAAAATATTCTTAAGTGGCCATCATAAAAATGCTTTGGTGAGCAGTTAAGAACATGCTTCAAACAAAAGAAAAAATATTAAGTCTCAGCAAGGAAATAGCAGGTTTCAGGAAAGAAACTGAAGGCAAAAGAAGAATCAGATGGAAATTCTAATAGTAAAGAATACAATAAACAAAATCTTTAAGTCGCTGAAAGAGCCTCAACAGTGGGATGAAGAAGATACAGAGAAGGATCAGGGAAATGTATTAAAAGATAGGTAGAACAACAGAAATTATTCAGCCTGAACAACAGACTAAGAAAATAATAACAGAGCCTCAAGAACCTGAGATGTTCGCAAAAAAAAAAAAAATTTTATATTCCACTGGAATACTAGAAGGAGAGGAGAAAGTGAGAGGCTAGACTCCAGGATATCCTGGCAAAAAGAAAACTCAGGTAACTCAGGTGTTGCTCCTCAGGGCCCAGGGTCTCTAGCTGGTCTGCCCTCTTTTCTCCACCCCGCAGTCTTCTTATGTTTGTTTTATATGTAGTGTCCAGAATTTTTAGTTGCCCTTTGTTAGGAGGAATAGAGATAAATGGGTCTACTCTATCTCATGCCAGAAATAGAAGTGATGCATTTTAAAATTTATTTTTAATCCAATTTGCAGGTGAAAGCCTTTGATGAAAAACAAAAGCACTGATTACTTTTAATTTTGTTCTTCTTCATTCAACCTGCTTTTCCTAAAGCCACATTTTTTTTCTTTTTTTAAATAAGGTATGATTGATATGCACTCTTATTAAGGTTTCACATGAAAAACATGTGGTTACTACATTCACTCATATTATCAAGTTCCCTCCACACCCCACTGCAGTCACTGTCCATCAGTGTAGTAAGATGCCACAGAGTCACTACTTGTCTTCTCTGTGCTACACTGTCTTCTCTATGACCCCCCACTCCATGTGTGCCAATCATAATACCCCTCAATCCCCTTCTCCCTCCCTCCCTCCCAACCGTCCCCCATCCCTCCCCTTTGGTAACCATTAGTTCTTTCTTGGTACTTGTCCTAAAGCCACATTACTTTAATCCACATGTCTGCTTCAGCTCTTGTCTGCATATACTGTTCGGGAACCTAGTAAGGAGTCCAAGGGGCTGGAACAAGGTGGATCCTTGTGGAAAGATCCAAGACTAGATTGAGAACTTTAAACTTTTGGCTTTGGGGCACAATTTTACGTATTTAATCTCCAAGATGATAATTAGGTTATTTGTTAAAAACATATAGTGTGAAGTGTGGAAGCAGAAACTTACTGGACGTTGGGGCACGGTAGAGTCGTGGTGTGTGGAACTGTGCAGATGACAAGCAGAGGGCAGGGCCGTCCCCTGGGGCTCACCGCCAGGGGCCATCTCCAGCTCCCCCACCTGTTTCTGGGCAGGACCAGCAGGAAAGTCTCTCCTCAAGATCGTTGAACCAATGTTTATGGCAAATCTACTGTGTTCAAGACCCTGTAGAGTTAGATTAAAAGACATCTGAGACATGATCGTTACTCTCAAAAAGCATATGGTACAGAAGCTTCCTCCTTTGTGGATTCCTTTCTCAAACTTTATCCCCTCCCATGCTTATAGGACCAGACCTCAAACATCCATTCAGAGTGTCTCCAGGTGATTTTACCAGAGAAAGGAATGTTAAAAACAAAAGCAAAATGAAAAACAAAAGAGAGAGAGAAGTCTCCCACCCTGCAGCCTGAGCCAGTTCCAGGAGCGAGCGCTGACCTGGCTTCCAAGGCGGTGCAAGGCGTGCCCAGGTGAACCGCCCGCCATTGGGTGGCTGCCACGGCCACACTCCGCACAGCCGACACTGCTCACGGAGAAGCCAGGCAGCTTGGAACAGCTTTCCTAGCAGGAGAACATCTGGATGGGCAGGCGGGGCGTCATTTATGCAGCCGGTGGAGACAGGGCTCAGCTGATTCTGATCCTTAGGCTGCCTGAGCGGAGACAAGCTCAGCTCCCCAGGGAGTGGCACTGCACAGGTGGGGGTGATGCTCAGGAGAAATGTCCCCAGAGTCCTCTGCAGGGGGCTGATTTTGGTCAGTGCCATCAATCTGCTTCTGGTATTTCATGCCAATGGGACTTTACAGAAGTGGATTCTGAGCGGTCTCCACAAGGAGCTTCGTTTGCCTCTGTGTGAATGGAGCGGGGCTGGGATAACGAGGCTCTCTCACTTGGTATTTTGCAGCATCTGATTAAGTTCGTAACACTAACTTGGGGGGGGGGCGTGTGTGTGTGTGTGTTTAGGGACACTTAGAAAAAAGGGCACGGCATACAACACGAGTAAGAGGTCATGTGCTCGTCTTTCAGCTGCTCAGTTCAAGCATCTGCCATAGACTTCTAACGCCTCCAAAATGGAGACAGGAACTGAGCAGTAGTGGCAGTCCGCGCAAGCAGTTGAGAAGAGGGGTGCGTGGCATGTGTTTACACTTGTACACACGCGTATCACAGGGACATACATACAGGTAGGGGGGCTGAGGCTCGGAATAAGAAACTTGAGAGGCTCAGGAATACTAGCTACAGTCCTGTCCTTAGGCCTTCACGTGGCGGAGGCTGTCATACAGAGGTGACAATCTCTGGGACAAAGGCCTCACCTCCATTTTTCTGTGAGCTCCTGACAGGATCTCATAGGAGCTTGTTAGAGGGCCTGAGAGCGAATCCTGACATGACCTAAATGGTTGCGTGACTTGAAGCCAGTGCTTATCTCTCTTCGCTTCAGGCTCCTGATCTGTAAATGGAAAAGAGAAGTTACCTTCCTGACCTCACACAGTTGCGAAATACATGCAGAAAGGGCTTTATAAAGTGGTGGGTACCTCACTGTAACATCTCTTTAACAACTGAGATGTAATTGACATGTACCATTATATTAGTTTCAAGTGTATAACATAAGGTTTCAGTATGTGTACACATTGTGAAATGATCACCATGGTAAGTCTAGTTCACACTCGTCACCACAGGTACAGTATTTTTTTCTTGTGATGAGAACTTTAAAAATACACTCTCTTAGTAACTTTCAAATATACAGTACAGTATAATTTACTGTGCTGCAGTCACCGTATTGTATGTTATACCCCATGACTATCTTATCTGGAAGTTTGTAACTTTGATCCCCTTTGTCCATTTTGCCCACCGCCCACCCTGCCTCTGACAACCATCTACCTGTTTTTTCTATATCTGTGAGCTGGGTTTTTCTTTCTTTCTTTTAGATTCCACCTGTAAGTAAGATCATAAGGTATTTATGTATGTCTGACTTGCCCCACTTAGCATAATGCCTTCAAGGTCAGCCAAACTTTCACTTCTTCCTCGGAGTTCTGGAGCTTGTTCTCGGTCTGGCTCGCCAGGAGCCTCTGTGCTCTGGGATTTGGCGTCTTGGCGCCCGACTCCGACTCCACTATGGGAAGCAGCCGTGCTTCCCCTGCTCCCGGCGATGGGGATGGAGGGCTGTGCCCTGAAGGCAGGGCTGGGAGCGTGAGCAGGGGCGACTGCACAGAGGCCTGGACATGGGCGCGTGGGGACTGCACTGGGGAAGTGTCTTTTAAAATGATACCTCAGATCGCCAGGATTCAGGGCAAGGCAAAGGGACAGACAGAAGGACAGACAGGAGGACAGACAGGAGGGGAAAGAAAAGGAAGAGAGGAAATTGGGAAGGTAAAGAGAAAGGGGATGAGAGAAAACAAAGAGACAGAACAGAAAGGGAGCAGGGAAGTGAGAGGCCAGGGCCGTCAACTGAAAAAGTTTATCTGGAAGCAAGAGGGAAAAAGGGAAAATGAGGCGGTGGGGAGAGAAGGAGGCTCCCCACAATCTTGGCCTGTTTATTGTGGCATGATTTCCTACAGGACAAACTTTGTAAAGGCTGGTTTAATGAGCATCTACAGAGCGCCTTCCCACTCTGTCCCTGTGCCTGGCACGTAGAAGCTTTACGGTGACTAGATAATGAGTGCGTATGGGAAGGAGAGAGCAGAGAGCAAGAGAGTTGATGAAGAAGGAAAATTGTCAGTCCCAGAGCCCTGGCTGTGAGGACATCCGGTTGGTGTGGACATTAGCTGTGCAGCTTCCTGGAGAAGGTGCCTGTGGACCTGGGCAGTCACTGTCACTCCTGGGGAGCACCATGCACACCAGGACTCGGTCACCGCCCCCAGCGGGCTCGTCCTACTGGCTCAGCCTCCTTGGGCTCTCAGGTCGTAGGGGTCCTGCGTGCCACCCAGCTACTCTGTCCTTCAGCTGGGACCCGGTATGCCTCGGGAGGCCCTCTGGAGCCAGCGGATGTACTTCCCTTTCCTTCCTGGCAATGTCCAGTTCCTCCTTTTCTTGTTATTCTCAGTGCTCCCCACACGTTATTCACTCTAAGATGATGTGGTGTCGAGGACTCCCTACCACCTGAGGTGAATTTCAAAATGTTTTCTGGATTCTGTTTCCTATCACAAATGCTCCTCTTTCCTGAAAGGTTTCCTGGAATTGAAAGCCTTTTCAATTACTAGTCATCCTGGGTGCTCACTGACTGTAAGATTGAAGAAAATCATGTCAAAAAGGATCCCAAGGCAAACGAGGTAAACTGTCCAGAGCAAGCGCAAACCCGTAGTGGTAATTATACCCCTATTGCGGGAGGAGCTGCTGACTCTAAACCAACCTCAGGAGCTTCCCTAGGGGTAATTAAAGACCCACTAGGGCAATGCCCATGGGCGTGTCCCTTTGGGTTCTGGGAAGTTTCAGTAAGTCATGGGGCTGGTCCAGTGACACTGTATTCATCATGCTGGACTCTGCACTTTCGTCCTCAAATTGACTGTAAGGTGTCCAGATCCAAACGATTTCCCACTGACAGGACTAGATGAAAGAGAAATCAGGTATCTCCCAAGAAGAATGCATTGGAGTTTAGAGGCACACCACCTTGTGATCCCCGTATCCTTAGTACCAAAGAGTTTGAATAAAAACACCACTCAAGTTGGAAGAGTGTAAAAATTCTGCTCTCACTTCTATTTCCCACCTGAGCCAATATGCATGACATTCACATGTGCCTTCTTTTGAAAGACCCATGGTTTCTTTTTCTTTCCAAGTTTGCCTTGACCCTCCTCTTTTTGCCTCAAGCCCATCCATAGTTGATTCCCATTCTTGGGCCAATTTTATGCCATTTTGCAAACATGCTCTCCTTCCAGTCACAGGACTTCCCTGTTTCCATTTTAAAAGCTGTGCATGTAGCTGAAATTCAGCCCCTGTTCTGCTCAGTAATGTGCTGCGACATGGGGCTGCATCCACCCAGAGGCGACTTACGCAGTGAGACTGTCCCCTCACCAAGCTGGGGCCTTGGGCCTGCAGTCATCCACAAAAGGGGGTGCTTTTTTCTAACTTGCATGAAGGTACTAGATGGACTAGAAGTGATCCTATCAATCTGGTTGGAATTTAGTATGAGTTGAGGGGAGGATTAGTGGGAATGAAGTGGGTCCCCATGGTGGATGGCTTGATTACCACTCTGGGGATTAATACTGAGGAGTGTCATCATTGATGCTGAGTTGGGGAATATCGATCAGCTCCAGGTCTGGTCATATTGAAGAAAGCAGAGAGTCAGAAGGCTATTGCAGTGGCCCTTGACGTGGTATGAAAACCTGGCTGCCTTCTTTCTTCTGCTGTCTTTGCTCCTGCTGGCCTTCTGGACAATGTTTCACCCATTACAGACTTTGTAGTGTCCCCGGTTCACTTCATCTCTGTCCCCAGTCCTACAACTGCAGGGTCCTATGGATGCCCACTGTGGATAAAGTGAAGGTTCCTGGGGCCAGGATGCTCACCTGGCCCCGGTTGGCTAGCTCACTACACATGTGGGGGGAATGCGTTGTAATTGCCTCTATGTAAAGCATGGAGTTCTGTCATGGACCTTGTCTCTGGAGGTAAGACCACTGGCTTGGATGGTGCTGTGGGAAAACACGTCTAATACCAGAGTCGGGCTCAGCTATGCTGGCTCGTCCCGGGAGAGACTCACAGATTTTCCTGCTTCCTTTGTGCAGGAGATGCTAAGTTCTGCTTTGCCTGGAATAGTCCTGGTTTGTTTACACATGTTGCCCTAGTTATGCCCGCTTCAGAAATATTTAAGTGGTGCTCCATTCACTCTGAAAAGTTTTCCAGTGTGACAGACAGATAATTATAGTTCAACCCTAACTGAGAGGCCTTGGGTCTTTGAGCGGGTTGCGGGCTGAAGCACCTGCACTAAGTACTTTTTTTTTCATTCTCTGTGGAGTTCACAGAGTTTAGTTGAGAGAGTAATATGCGGAGACTCTCCAGGCAGAAACTTAACAGGGCTGTCACAAAGGTGAGGTAAGTAATGGATGCAAAAGTGCTCTGAAATTTATAGGTCATTTTCCAAAATTATTCCTAGTGATGTCATGGATCCTGGAAGACCTCCTCTGCCTGGGTCTGTTGCTGTTCATTTTTTGAATTAAAGCAGCATTTCCCAAATGCATGTAACCATTAGATTTATCTGGAGCAATTGTTACAAATGCAGGTTCCTGGGCTGTAACCTAGACTCACTGAATCTGATCTCTGGGGGGAAGCCTGGGATTCTGTATTTTTAACAAACTTTTGAAGGCGTTTTTATGATCAAGCAAGAGGGAGAGTGTGGGATTAGTGTATTTCCAGTTTTAAAGTTCCTGGTAAATTAAGCACATGAGAAGTGAAAGCATCCTGGTGGTGAAGGTCAGAATAGATTCACCTTTGTTAGCTACTTTGATGGTGTAGTAGGATGTTCCTCAAATTTTACTATACAAAAGAATTACTCCTTGATTTTGTTAAAAATGCAGGTTCCAGTAACTTTTCTTACCCTTATCTGTCCTTGAGATTCCTAGTCCGTTGATTTGGGGGATAAATCTGGATATCTGTATTTAAAAAAATCGTAACAGTTGATTCTGATGTAAGTGGTTCTTGGGCCTTATTCTGAAAAGCATTAGCTTATTGTCAATGTATTTCTCAGCTCACAGTTCTCAGAGGAGCCTTGGAGGTGTGAGACTCGGGCTCCACATGTTCTAACAGAGCTGAAGCGAGGGGTGTGTGCTGGTGCCCACCTTGCCGGGACACAGAGCAAGGCTCGGTGAGGTGCTGAGGCACGCGGCGTCCTCTGGGACAAGAGCCTGTGAATTTTAGAACTGAGAGAGGGAAACACTTCAAGGAAATGTGGATGGAAAGCAGTACCCAGGTAACTAAGGATTGGCTGAAATGTTTTCTCCCCTGCCCTTCATTTGCAGAAGAACATGTGAAATTGGCTACGAAGCAACAAGAAAACGCAGAGAACACAGTGGAGAGGGTAAAAGATAAAGAACGTCCTGTTGGAGAGGCAGTGGAAGCCAGGATGAGGGACGTGCAGAAGCACAAACCCAAAGAGAAACTCTTCCCAGATTCACCACTTTTCAAGCAGTTGGGGGAGGATCTTTCTGAGGCTCAGCAGAAAAAGGCCCAGGACCTCTTCCAGAAGTTTGGTTACAACTGTTACCTTGGTAACCAGCCCCTCAGTCGTGTCATCCCAGACACGTGGGATGCCAGATAGGATGGACTAAGGTTGGGCTTCCTGGGAACCTCAGTTTAGACTGGTGAGGAGCTTTGGGAGCAGGTGAAAGTCAAGTTGGAAAGAGGGTTGGAGGAGTGGGAAATTAGCAGGAAGGGGGTCAGAACATAGAAAGTTCTGGCAGGCAGTCTGAGCAGGGTTCTCGTTTTCAATCCATTTTATAACGGTTGCTCGGGGGAGATAACTGACAGATCTACTGATTCATGGCCCCTTGGTGGTGGACAGAGATGGAGAGAAACGCAGATCCTTGCTAATTCTGATGATGGGTCTGACTCAACTTTACAGATGAAGAAACAAAAGCTGAGAAAGAGAAACCAGTTACTTAAGTTACACGGAAGGTGCTCTTCTTTCTCCCCTGGGGTCCCACTCAGTCTCTGCTTGGATTCCTCTGTGTTTTCACCCTGGTTTAAAGACACTCCTCTCTTTCTCCTCCCTGTGGCCTGTTCTCTCTCTGCCTCACCTGCACTTTTTCATAAGTTTTAAAATTAACAGTTTTGTTGGGATATAATTCACCTGCTATACAGTTTGTCCATTTAACGTGTACAATGTAATAGTTTTTAATGTATCTGGAGTTGTGCACCATCACAATAATCAATTTGAAAACATGTCTATTAAAGATGAGAAAAAAGGGGAGGAGATATGGATTGATAGGGTTTGTTATATTTATCTTATTTACTATGTCTGTGTCTCTGTGTTTAGTCCTGTGGGTTGAATTTACCATCTTAAATTACTATATGTTATAGGCCCAACAATTCAATTATATACATTAAAAAATACAATTGCTTGTAAAATTAGGAGAAGAAATAAGCAATAATACTGTCTTAAGTTTATGCAGTTCCTTTACTGGTGCTCTGTGTGTGTGTGTGTGTGTGTGTGTGTGTGTGTGTGTGTGTGTATGTGTGTGTATTTGAATTATTGTCTGGGATCACTTGCTTTCAGCTCAAAGAATTTAATATTTCTTATAAGGTCAGTCTGCTACTAACGAATTCTCTTAATATTTATTTGCCAGTATCTTTATTTCACCTTTGCATTTAAAAGATACACGATGAAAGATGCTTGGCTGATAGCTTTTTTTCTTTCTCTTGACACTTTCAATATGTCATCCCACTGCCTTCTGTCTCTATTTTTTCTGATGAGATGTCAACTGTTAACATTACAGGGGTTTCCTTGTATGTGGCGAGTCGTTTTTCTCTTACTTCTTTTAAGATGCTCACTGCGTCATTGGCTTTCACCACTTGGACTATGATGTGTCTGGGTGTACATTGCCTCATTTATCCTACTTGGAATTTGTTGAGTTTCATGGATGTTCTTAGAAGTTTTTGAGTATGAATACTTTGGGGGTTATGAAATACAAGTTGCAGCCTCTGAGTGCTACCAGAATTATCAGACATCAAATGAAGAAGGAATTGTGGCCAGAATTTTTTTCCATAATTTTTCCTTCCATTTATACTTTTAACCAACACAACAAAGGAATCAAAATTCAAAAACTGACCATAATCCATGTAATGCGTGGAACTGGCCCAGTGTATGCTGTGGATGATGAATTGGTACTCCCCATAAAAAGATGATTCTTTACCCTAAAAAGATGATTCTTCAGTCTCCTCTGATTCTCTTGGTCAGAAGGTAGTGGGTATAGCCATAGATGGAGATCCAAGAAGCTACTTCCACACTAAACCCACTCATTTCAGCATATAGATTGCCCCTAAGGCATTTTAAGACAAATATTTTACCTAATAGTTTATGCAAGGGAGGTAACAAAGTTTCATCTTTTCTGTCAATCCCAGATGATCGGTAGTGGTTACTTGGAGTATTGTGGGGGGCACCTTTGGGTCCATGTGCTCAGAGGCAGGAGTTCCACAGTTGGTTAGTGATGCCTGGCATCAGGCAAGGGGCAAGTGGTAACACATGCGTCAGTATTTGCCACTTGTGAACCAGGAGACAAATAGGTCCTAATACATTTTCTCTTGGGTTGATTGCATAATTTAGGTTTTTAGGTATGAGGATAATATGCTGGGATCAGTTGGTAACTGAAACTGCTTGTACTTATGTAATTTTGGAGCATCCAGGTTTTATTCCATAGAGATTAACTCATGAAACTGCTTTTCATTTTTTATTCCACAGGGATTAAGTCATGAAACTGCCATTTAGTTTTATCCAGGGTAATACTTGGATTACTGTGGACAAAAAAATATGTATGAATAGTTTCCTTATATACTTGAATAACATCTGAGTCACATCTGATACTTAGAAACCAAATGAGTACCCTTCCTCCTTGCTGTCCATAAAAAATCCACGTGGCTCAGACATACTTGGATTTCAGAGCTAAAGCATTCTGGAAACCATTACGCTTTCAGAACTGTAGGAAGATCACTCCCTTGACTCTCTTTGAGAGAAATAATTTGGTATTTCAGAGATAAGATAATGAAAGAATAGACCTTCTATGGCACTTAGTCCAGCCTCCTGCTAAACAAGATGCCCAAGTGGTTGTGGTCACTGCTTCCTCAGCTTTCTGGATAGCAGCTGGATGCCAGAAGGTGCCAGCCCTGACAGTTCTCATGACTTCATGCCCTCTCTTTATGGTTCTGAGACCAGAGAATGGCTACTCAGGAGAGTATTGTGTGGAACTGGAGAATCAGTCAGTTTACTGAGTTCAGGTAGAGATTAAATACAAATAAACAATTAAACACAGGAAAAGGCATAGCTTTTACAGTGAATCTCAATTAGGGAGTCCACCAAAATGTAGCGGCCAGGACCAGCCATAAAATTTGCAGGCCTTGTGCAAAATGAAAATGTGGGACCCTTGGTTAAAAAATTACTAAGAATTCCAAGATGGTGATGGCAAAATATTAAGCCAAGTTAACTCACTAAGTGTGACGACCCGTGTGACTGCAGAGGTAGGTCACACAACCAAGAAGCTGTCCTGGCTGCTGCCATATTTGCCTTAGGAAATCCTAATGTAAGAATATATTTTGCAATTACTTATATCCTGTTTTCATGTGTACATATCAGCTTATTTGTTCTACACAGCAGTTGTTTCAGGCAAAGTTGTGATAAGCATAAAGTTTATCCCTCTAGCTCTAACACCTAGAATTTACCTAATCTATTTCTCCCATCATGCTCTCCTGTTGCTAGGGACAAGGGGGCGTGGGGCTATAGCTTGGAAGGAGTCACTGCAGATCAGTTCCTCTAGCTGTCATTTGACCAATAAATATTTTTCAGTGTCTTCTGCTGTACGGTCAGTATGGTAGCCACTAGTCTCATATGGCTATTTAAATTTAAATTAATTAAAATTGAATGAAATTACAAAGGTAGTGTTCTGGTTACATAGGCACATTATAAGTGTTCAGTAGCCACATGTGGTTAGTGACTATCATAATGGACAGCACAGACATAGGACATTTCCATCACTGCAGAAAATTCTACTGGACAGAGCTGTTCTACACATTCCAGGTCAGGTGCTAAGAAATAAGGGTGTTCTTTTTGGAACTGCAGGAACCACATTTCTTGTGTCTCTTGATGTAAGGTGGGAAAGAGAATGTGGGGCAATGGATGAGAAGTGTTGTGAAAGTATTTAGAATATAGCCAAAAAATATTCAAAATGATGCATGGGAGATGGGTGGAGAACAGAAAATCTGAAGGTAGTTTATCAAATTGTGTGGATTAGAGAGAAGAGAAGCTGAGCAGAGTTTTAATCAGTTTTCATTTAACATGGTTACTGATTCTTACTTTCAATTAAAGCATATTTATTATATAAACAGTCTGTACTAGACATTAGGAACTGCCACTGAGTTTGAAATTTAAAGTTCCTCTCCCAGGCTCCTCTGCTTCTGCTTTAAATACTGATGATTCTCACACTTTAGCTCAAGGCTCCTTTCTGCATGTAACTTGGATGATTTTATCCAACTCTTATGAATTCCACCACCATTTGGATGGTGATGACTTCCAAATTCACATCTCCAATCCTGATTGCTCAGCTGTGGCCCCAGGACCACATACACAGTTAGAGAATTCCATGGTGTGAGTCAGAAGCACTTTGGACTCAGCATGGCCAAATCTAAATGTTTCAATTTCTTTCCCCCCTCTCATTGGTCCTAGCTCAGTGAATGGTGTCATTTTCCAAGTAATAATTATAACATCAGGAGCAAAAATAATTACCAAAATAGTAATAACAGCAGTTAACATTTATTGAACACTTCATTTTGTATTTCACACTAATACTAATACTATTGGGACATAATAGCTCTCGGCTTCCTAAGTGCTAAGAGCACTAGAAGCATTTTTTGTTCTAGTATTTGTCTTGGACTCTGTCTCTGATACAGGGCTCCTAAAACCCTTGTAAATTCCTAAATGATAAGAGCACTAGGTGCATCTTTTGTTATATTGAGGTGACTCTGGGTGGGCTTCTGGATGGTTCCTGGATGGTTTCTGGTCACCAGAAGGACTCAGCCATGATTAGAAGCTTGGAATTTTCAGCCCCATTCCCCATCCTCCAGAGAGGGGAGAGAGCTGAAAATGGAATTAATATTTGCTTATGCCTATATAAGGAAGCCTCCATAAAATCCCATATTATGGTGTTTGGTGAGCTCCCAGGTTGGTAAACATATCCATGCTGGAAGGGGTGACATACCCCAACTCCACAGGGATAGAAACTCCTGTACTAGGGATCCTCCTAGACCTCACCCTGTATATTCTTCATCTTTGTCCTTTATCATATCCTTTAATAAACCAGTAAGCGTCAGTGTTTCCTTGAGTTCTGCGAGCCACCGTAGCAAATTGATTGAGCCCAAGGAGGTGTCATGGGCACCTCCAGCTTGTACAAAGTCTGACAGAAGCTATGTGTGCCTTGGGGGCCTACTACATGATGGCCGACCACATTGGAAGAGGGATGGGGGCAGTCCTCTGGGACTAAGCACTTAACGTGTGGAATCAGATATTTTTAAAAAATCAGAATTGAGTTGAATCATGGGACACCA